CAGAGCCCGAAAGGCCGCGGGGCCATCGTGGCCGCCCCGGCCCCGCCGGCCTCTCCCCATCCCCGCGGCCTCAGAGCCCGCCGCTGACGAAGGGGTGTCTCAGCAGGTCCTCGGCCGTCGGCCGCCGCTTCTCCTCCACGAAGATCTGCTTGAGGAAGTTGCGGCAGGAGCTGGAGACGCTGTCGGGGAGCTGGGGGTTGGTGGGCTGGGTGGCGATCTTAAAAATGGCCGCCATGGCTTCGAACTCGGCCCACGGAGGCTTCTCTGTGAGCATCTCCACCACGGTGCAGGCCACGCTCCTGCAACGAGGCCAAGCAGGCAGGGTGAGGGACAAGCGTTGGGTGTCTAACAGGCTCCAGGATTGTGCCTGCCTGGAACAGCCTGCACCTCAGTAATTGTGCCCCCCTGCCCCCCCCGAAGCTCACTGCTCACACAGGTCCTGGTGAGAGTGAAGTTGCCCTGAAGCTGGTGGCTTTTTCTGCCTGTCTTAACTGGCAGAGAGTACGTTTCATCAAAGCACGTCCTGGAGGGAATCCCAGATGTGAGTTTGGACACCATGGATTCAGCAACAGCAGGTAGTTCCCCCAGGAAGTGGAGCCAGAATGAAACACGTTTAGCCAAACCCAGCTTCATCTCTGACACGCATTGAAGAAGGAGCCTGTCAGATGAGCAGCGAAGAGCCCGAGAAGTTTCCCTGTGCTTCCTGAGGAGTCTTTGTCTCAGCAGGGACAACCTCCACCCACAGCTGCTGCTAAAAACTTGAATGACCCCACCAGCTGGAGCAGACAGTGCAGGGATGCCTGCCAAGGACACCCTAAGTTTTCCCTGCAGGCCTCAGGTGAAGAGACTTCTTTTGGTTGACCCCATTTTGTTTGAGCACCAAATGGAAAGCACACTGCAAAACCAGTGCTTCCTCATTTGTTGGGAGGATTAGCATTATTCCAACTCCTTTAGGCTCCAGTTGACATCTGTGGATCTCCACAGATCAGAAACAATGATTTTGGTTGTTTTCATGCCTGAGCCACATGCAAACACCCAGCAGTGGTTTTTGTGAGGCTGCACAAGACTCCCCTGAGCCTCTGTGCTGGGTTCAGCTGCCCCAAAACTGGGACCACCACAACTCAACAGCTCTTTCAGCAACCTTTGTTATCAACCTGCTTTCCAGAATGTTAGAGCAGCTACAGCTGGTCAAGCTCTGCATGGCCCTCAGACACGACAGAAGCTTTCAAAGTGAAGTTGTGACTTTGAGTGCTCCTGTTTGGGCACTTCTAGCTAGAACACGCTCCTCCTGGATATCTGCACAGTTGATCCTAACATTTAGCTCCTGTTTCCATCTTTTGCACTGCTCCATCTTCCAACTACCAGCTATACCTCTTGCTCCCATTCCAAATTCCCAAAGGGGTCATTTGTTTAAGAGGGAATGACAGGGTTTCTGCTGTTCTCCTTACCACACGTCAGCTTTCCTTCCGTAGCCTTCTCCACTGATAACCTCTGGGCTCATCCAGTACGGTGTTCCCGTGACAGACTTAATCCCAGTCCCAGACATGCAGATGGTCTGAATGCGTTTGCTGGCCCCAAAGTCTCCAAGTTTCACATTTCCGGCAGAATCTCTCAAAATATTTGCACCTAGGGGAGAAAAGCAAAATCAAAAAACCCAAGAAGTGAAGCAGAAACCTGAGCTGAAGTGGCTACAGTGAGGAGAGCAGGAAGGGCAAAGACACCATGTTTTGCACAAGAATTTATACTCGGGTCGGGGGGGAGGGTGAGTTGAACAAATCCAAGCAAGCAAGAAGCCTCTCTCTATTATCTACTCACCTTTAATGTCTCTGTGGACAATCATATTGCTATGTAAGTAGAAGACTCCCTGCAGGATCTGCCTGGTGTACTTCCGTGTGACGTTCTCGGTCAGAGCACCGTAAGCTTTTAGCTGGTCCTTTATTGAGCCCTGTTGCAAAGAAACAAAACCAGCAACCATGAGGACCAGCAGACCCAGGTGCATCATGTCACAGTGACTTTTTAAACTTTCCTGACCACTCTGTCTCCTACCTTAATAAAGCCACTCTGCTGAAGAAACAGCAAGATACAAATCCACTAAGAGCTCCAAAGAGCAAGGACTTGTTCCAGATGTCCCAGATCCCAGTGGAGAAAGAGGCACAGTCTCTGGTCCTACCTTCTGCCAACACTACAGATCTTTTTCCCCCTCTAGTGGCTGGACATCACTAACAGCTCATGGAGAAGGACTACACGGGTAAGAAGTCACAACTCGCCGAGCCGATCAACTCGACTGGCTCTTCAGGGCCAAGCTGATGAGTCAGTCTGCTATGAAGCCTATCTACCACAGCTTGTCACACCAAGGACTACCCACTGCCACGAGTCAGACAGACTCATGAGGGACATGATCAGCCCCACATGGGGACCGCTTCAAAACGAAGACCCAGAGCAGTCAATTTGCAAGCACCCAGCCTTGAATTTCTGACCCAGGCATGCAGGCTCCTACTGGTTAGATTTTACTGATCAAAGAGGGAAGGAAGCAGGGGTGCAGACATCTGACATCTGCAAGACCTTGAACCTCTTGGTTTTAGCTGCACTTTCCACTTGGAAATGGATGTCCCTCACTATGCCTGAGCTGGGTTTTAGCCAGGGTGAAACAGAGGCAGATTTGGGGTTCAGTCAGAGAGGTTGCACCTAGATCTACCTCCAGCATTCAGGTTGGCTGAAAAGCAGGAGGGGAAAGTGATCCTGTTCCTGCCTGCCCTGCAGCCCTGGGTCTGATTCAAGATTGCTATAGTCCTTACCTTCTGGGAACAGTGGGATGCTCTGCTTCAAATCAGTCATTCAAACTCTATCAGCTTTTCCACATCCACCCACCTCTGCTGTTGCTCTGCCCAGCTACTGTTTTTAGCCTACTTTTGAGGCTGGTGGTGGGACAGCTCCTTCCTTTTCACAATCCTGCTAAAGTAACCCGAGATGCTCTGAAATTACCCCTCCTGGTACAACTTCTATGCAGGGTATATTCCCTCACTCACAACCTGAACAAGCTTTCCTAACCTGACCTCCCTCACCCTGACGTGGGGACATCAAACATGATACTGAAGAAGAGGAATCAGGGTCTTCAAGGGCTTTGGTCAGATAGACCATTGCTTTTTCTAAGTATGAATTGAAGAAATAGTTGAATGGCCAGGATAAAACATACAGAGTCAGTTATTTAATGGGGGCAGTTGTAAAAATGCCAGGCTGAAGGTGCACCTCAGCTTGGCCCTGTGAAGATTTTGCCAAGCTGGCTAGGTTAAATCAGAAGCTTGGCTTGTGGAGCTGCTGTCCTGCAAGATTTGGGAACTCATTCACTTCCACTGGCCTTGAAAACCAAAGCCCAGAGCTGCTTTTGTGAAATGAGCCCTTGTTGCAGCAGGACAATCAATCTGTATTTGGTCAGAGCTCTGGATTATCATTAAAAAAACAAACACTCAACTTCCAACCCTGTTGGACACCTCCCCAGCATCAAATGTTGGTTTCCTGGCTGCTAACAAGCATCAGCACACTGCAGAGAGACTGGCAAGGGGGCTGCTGAAACTCCCAGGGTTTAATCCTCTGGGGGTCCATGCTTTGTGGTAAGGTGAGATCCCTCCCCCCAAGGAGAGAGGGAAGACAGAGCTTGGAAGGCACTCAAACACCTTGAAGTCCACCTGACTACGTGCAAGACATGTTAGGAGAACTTCAAGCACATTTACTAATGACATAATTACTTGCAACTAGATGACTTAATCGTCCCTTCTGACCTTACAAATCTGTGTATAAACAAGGGTTTATTCTCCCACACTCTGGGGAATGAATCCAGCTGGGCAGGGAGGGCTTAAGAGAACAGATCCTCCAGCAATGTAAATAGTGTTATGCTGGTTTACACCAAACAATGGCTTTGTCTAGATGGCTGCTGTAACTCGCACACTTGCAACTGGAAAAAGATGTTCAGCTGATCTGCAGACATTCTCCAGCCCCTGCTTAGACTGTCTTAAAACTTCCTGGTCTTCTTTTTCCCTAGGGCTATTTTATCTCATCTCAGCAAAGTCCCAAACTGAAGCCACTCCTGCACAAGAGGAGAGTGCTACCAACAAGAAGTCCTGTCCTCAAGAGAAGACTTACAAGTAAGTAACCCTGCTTTTAATACACATGTGCTAAAAGTCATAAATAACTGGTGACAGCTGTGGGTGGACAGTTGTGCTAGAGCATTTCCTGCAGGGATTTGCAATAAATACTTATGGATGGGCTCAGGCCACAACGTTTGGAGACAGATCTGGATCATGTCCCACATTCACCAAGTTCAGATTCCAGACTGCAAACACACCCTGCTCCAGGATTCAAACCTGCCTGTTGAGGAGCTTCACCATGACATCTGACTCCCAACCTAAGCTTTCCCATGCTGAGATCCACTGTTCTGGTTTGGCTCATCGGATATAGAACAGCTCCACCTGTAGAGTTTAACTCCAGATCTAAATTTCACCAAAGTCCAGGGCAGTCTCAATCTGATCTTTGCCTCTCAGGACAATCTCAAGAGGACCCATACTCACCCCTGGCATGTATTCCACAAAGATAGACAGTTTCTTCTCCTCAGGATCCCGCAGACACCCATAGTACTGCACTATCCTGTCGTGACGGAGAGTTTTCAACAGCTGAATCTCACATTCTAAGGCATTCACCTCCTGCAGCAAAACAGACAGGCTTCATGACAAAAGGGAATGGTTAGTTTGGGAATATTATCCAAATGCTGCTGGATGCTGAGAACTGTTTTCACAGGACCTGCAAAGCTGCCTATGAGGACATCAGCCACATAAGGCTCAGAAATGAGGAGCGCTGCCCTATGAGAGAGAGGAGAAAGACAGGTGGGATACTCAAGGGCTTGGCTTTGAGACAGGTTTGCTTGTCTCAAGTCAACAAGACTGGTGCTCAAGGAGTTTTTTCTGGAAAGGAGTGAATTAAGACATCAGCAAAGGTAAAGAAGCACCCAGAGTGGGAAGGAAAAGGGAGCAAGAAGGCTGAAACTAAGGAAGAAGCAGGCAGGCCTGCAAGAGATGATACCTGAGACAGAATGGGCCAACATGACCAAGGAACTAGGAGGTAGAGAAGTCACCCCAGCATGCTGACTTGGTGCCACAAGCCACTCATTCAGGACCACTCTGAAGAGGGCACACAACACACAGTTTCCACACACTTCTCTACACTCAGCCCACAGTCCCCAGTGTGCTGCAGGACACAGTCCTGCCCTCATACTCACCTTACTTGTCTCTTGACTGTCAGGGTCAAAAGGCACCTGCTTCACCGACAGCTCCCGGCCAGTGTCGGCATCGTAGCAGAGATAAACCTCCCCAAAAGCTCCTCTTCCAAGCAGCTTCCCCAGCCTCCAGTTCACAGGTGCCTGCAGGGCTGCAAGAGAGAGAAGAGGGCTGAGAGAAGAGCACAGCAGGGAGACTCCAGCATCAGGGTCCATCTGACCCTACAGAGTGCAGATCAGGCTCATCAGGGCAGGTGATGAGCCACCCTCTCCCAGAGGCACCACAACAAACCACTTTCAATTGCACTAGTACTACTGGTGTGTATGTGTGTGGGGTATCTCCTAGTCTGCATTTACATAAAGCAGAAACAAGTCCCAGAAAAGGCACGTTTCTTTAAGAGTTCTTCCTCCAAAAAACCACATGATTAGCCAATGCTGGACCTTCCTCTGCTGCAGGAGTGGCTAGCAGGATTCAGCACGGTGGAGCAACCAGCCAGATAGGGACCAGCAAAGAGTTTTATCTCACTGGTCATTTCTAGGTTGTTACCCATCACTGAACAGGACCAGAATGCACCTATTTCTGTGGCATGGGCAGTCTTGCAATACTAGAGCAACCTTTGGGTGCTGGGATGACAGCAATCTAGGCAGGGAAGGGAGACTCTGGATGCATTTTCTCCCACATCCCAAGTCTCCTGGAAGCTTCTGCTGTGCAAGCACATTGACAGTCCAACACAGAAGGATATTCTGCCACTCAGTAAGTGATAAACACCAGATGACCCCACACATGCTCTCAACCCAAGCCCAAGGTAAAATGCACTGTGTTGTATTAAATCTTCCTCACTGAGGTGTAACCTGGCACAGTGTGCCACGTGCTGGGATGAAATCAGGGTGGATCACACCAGGTGAGCTCAGTAGGTGATGGCAACTCAGTTTGGTGTTGAGATCCAGATGTGCTGAGACCTCAGACACCAGCAGCTTTGATGCACTTACAGTTCCTAGTTTTTGTGGGGGAGGTGCTGAAGACCTGCAGACCTTTTTCACAATTGTTCCACCACTTGGGCCTGTACTCGTCGTACTGCAAGGTGCTGAGCTTGCTGTCCCCCGTGAAGCTCTTGGTTCTGCTGGAAGGAACAAGCTGAAACAAGTTCTCCTGTGGGAAGTAACTTCTGGGGAAAGTCCTCCGGCCTGTAGGAGAAAAGGAGAGTTACAGCACAGGGACACACCAGCTTGGATCTATCCATCACCACCTTCTCACATTGCTGCCCAGATGCAGTGATGCACCTCTTCAAACTAAACACAACAAGCTTAATGAAACTGAAGCAAAGCCCTGTGAACATTTTAAATTTGATTTAAGAGCTGTTAAACAGCAGGTATTGCATCTAATGCAGATGTTTCCAGAGGGGGTTGCAACAAGTTAATTACATTAGGGTTTTTGTTGGTTGTTAATCACAATTAAACTCTGAACAGGCAGGGATGTACATTGCAAATTATCCCTGGCATCCCCTAAGACCACAATACAAATGACCACACAAGTGCTGCCAGATCTTGTGATAACTGGTCACAGGGGTGGTGTTAGTGAGAGATGAAGCTCATTCTGGAAGGCTCAATATGCTGCCTGCACATCCCTAATACTTTTTTTCTAAGGGAATTTGATTCTTTTTTAGTTTTGCCTCCCACCACTTGCAGTGTCATACAGGGAAAGAAGGAGCAGCAAGGAGGTGATGGAGCAGTCCCAAAAGCTCAGAGCTCACCTGCTTGAAAGAAAGACATGAACAGATACTGCTACCCTGCATTTGCCAGGGGATTTCTTACAGCTCCATGAGAAACCTGCTGTAAAGGTCAAAAACCAGCATCCTCAAAAGCAAGCAGAGGGGAACAGAAAGGTTGTTACTGCCAGGGATGAGAAATGCCACACATCCAGGGGGCTAAGTGAACACAACAGGTGCAAGCAGAGAAGGAGCTGAACATCTGACTGCAGATGCTCAGCACTCCCCCAGAGCTGACCCACAAGGTCTCACAGAGGATGCTCTTCAGAATACACAAGTGAATCCCAAATTATTTGGTGGTTCTCCCTTGTTCAGAAACCTCTCCTTCCCAAGTCTCTCCAGTCCTAGGCACTGCCACAAGCCACTGAGACCTTTGGCCAAGCAACTCCCTCCCTGACCCTCCCTCATGTTCTTACCATCACTGTAGTCCTTGCGACTCTGGGACAGGTGGTACTGCCTTGGGAAGGTCCCACCTTTCCCAAACCTCTCGCAGAATGGGATGTCAAAATCTGTCAGGAAGGAAGAAGAGATGTGTTTCTGAGATCAGCTGGGAATCAAAAGCCCAGAACATTTCTCATGGGAAAGCACTCTGGTCTTCTCACAGAATTACAATCAAGAACAAGGTAACAAGCTATTAATTTACACTGCCAGACATTCCCCAAGGCTCACCCTGAAATCTGTCCACAGTCAAACACTTCTTAGTGGAACATAAGGCTTATATGCACTGGTCTTGGTCCCCCTAAAGCCAACAGAGGTTTAACCACTGACTTTATGGACCCTGGCCCACTCTGTCCAAATACAAGGCAGTGGATTAACATGACTATGTTTGGTTTCCAAAACTGAGCACTAAACATCTTATTTGCACATGGAAAATGCAAAAATTAGCACAGAAACAGGACTGCCAGGCAGCCTCAGGCCCAGATCCATCAAGTCCAAAACCTCTGCTCTGATATCAGCTATTTCCAGGGAAATGTAAAAATCCAGCTCTTGGCTAACACCAGACAATCCCTCCCCTCTTTCTTCTCAGATGTGACTCCTGACCTCTGAAAGCCACAGACCCATTTACACTCCCAGAGATCTAAATATTTATATTTACTTTGATTAAATACTAGAAAGATAGAATATGCAGAAGTGATTAAACACCAGAGCTGAGATCAGACACAAGATTATAAGAGAGATGGATGGGCATGTGAGATAAGTGCATATTTTTTTTAATAAAAAAACCCAACAACACAGCACAGGAAGCCATTGCTGGTAGCACTGAATAACTTGAGATTAAAATATCTGTCATTTCCCCCCCCATCTTTCACCTCCTGTTTTTCCTCCATCCAACTCTAATGACACAGTCTGTTCTGATTATTTGTTTGTCTTAGCCTGGGGCCAGGAGCCGCTCCTTGGAGACCATTCCTGGCCTCGGCTGTGCTTCAGCATGACTTCCCCATGACAGCAGGAGCACAAGGAGTGCAGAATGGCTGAAATACAGTCAGCAAGAAAAGCAACAAGGACAGGTCAAGAGGTTCTCAGTGAGCCACATGTGAGTGGCAGTGCTGAGTGGTGTCTCAAAGCAAAATGCCTCCCCTGCCACTGCGGATGTATTAAAACCTTCAGCAACGGGGACCGACTGCAGCTCCAACTCTACAGTTCCATCTAGAAATCCTGCCCCAGGCCAGAAACAAGTTATCATGCCACAGGCTGACTGCCATTTGTTCATTTTTAATAGTGAAAGTCATTCCAATATTACAGAGTTTCCATGACTTAACCAGCTGGATGTTTTTAAGAGATTAAGCAGTAACCTATGATCCTTGCAAGTCACCAATACACTTTCTATAACAGCATTTCACAGGATCATAGAACTGTGGGGGTTGGAAGGGACCTCTGGAGATCTTCTCGTCCAACCCCCTTGCCAGAGCAGGATCACCCAGAGCACATCACACAGGAACACATCCAGGCAGGTTCTGAATGTCTCTAGGGATGGAGTCTCCACCACCACCCTGGGCAGCCTGTCCCAGTGCTCTGTTACTCTCAGAGCAAAGAAGTATTTTCTCATATTTAGGTTAAACCTCCTGTGTACCATTTGTGACCATTGTCCCTTGTTCTGTCACCAGACACCACTAAGACTCTGGCCCCATCCTCCTGACACCCCCTTTAGATATTTATAAGCATTGATGAGATCGCCCCCTCAGTCTCCTTTTCTCTAAGCTAAACAGCCCCACCTCTCTCAGCCTTTCTTCATATGGTAGATGCACCAAGCCCTTAATCATCTTAGTGGCCTATGCTGGACATAGTTCCTTGTCTATTATTACTGGAAGGGGAAGAGGAATAACTTCCTAGAGAGTTTTGGACTCAGGTTTTGCTATGTAGGAACTCAGGATCCTGAGAGTGAAGCTCACAGAAACACAAGGTGATGCCACAAGCCTGTTTCCAGCTTCTCAGCACCTTCCCAGTTGTTTCCAAATATCACAGCAATGGCCCCTCAGCACCTTCTTCCAACACAGCACTCATCTCTCATCTTTCAACAGCTTTATTGGCTTTCATCCATTTACTTCAGCGACCTTGCTAACCCAGTTTGGACTGTTGGTGCTGTAAACTGATTCTCAAGCCAGGCCCAAACGTTTTTCAGTGCTGCCACTACTGCTACAGAGCCAAGAAGGGTTAATGAAGACAAGAGCAACCCTGCCTGTGTCTGATGCTCTGGGTCTTTTGATTTTAAAGAACATTTATGTTTGATCATCGCAGGGTCATTGTTGAAGTGTAACACAAGCAATGGAGCTAGTTTGCTTGACTGGTTTTAATTACTTCCCATGCTGTGTCATCTCCCTAATAACCCTTTATCCAGTCTCTTTACTACATGCTTTTAATACATTCAAGCAAATACAAATCTACAAGAGTGCCTTACCCATGCAATCAAGACTGTGTTTGGGATGGCTTTTCCTTCCAGGAACAGGGGTTTGGGTAAAGGGAGGGCTGCAAAGAGATGAAGGGGAAAAAAAAAGATACAATTTATTATATCAGAAAGGCTGTGGAATGAATTAGGAAGTGATTAAATACAGAAAGGACAGGCTATACCACAAGATGCACTGATCATCCCAGTCTACCCAACTGAGCTCCCATCCTCTACCTGCACTAGAATGAAGTCTGTTTTTTGCTGGGCCACAGCATGTTCCTGTGGCAAACAAGAGGGACGATGCAGAAGATACAGTCCTCAGGCTGAAATGAAGCAGTCAAAGACCCCTCACACCGACTACAAGACAGCACAGAGAGAGGACTGCAAGTTTTCCTTTCCTCAACATGAAGGGTTCAACTGTGAACATGGCTTAGTTGCTGCAGATGTACACACTGGAGTCCTTCAGTCACCCTTGATTCATGCAGGTCTCCACTTCTCTGCAACATCACCCTCCATCTTCCTCACACAGAAGAGTCCACAACCCCACTGGGCACACACGCCCTCCTAGGAGACCAGGAGGCAGAGAGTGAGCTCAGTGCTTCAAGGCTTAAGGTCTTTAAACCACAATGAGAGGGTGATAAAGCACCACAAGGGGATCCTGGTGACCCTGATTTCACCCCTGCCTCTGTAAGGGCCAATAGGATGATCCAGACAAGTTGCTTTTCCAGTCTCCCTTTCAACAAAACGGGCACAGTAGTAAAAATCTGCTTTGTAAAGTCCTATGAAATCTACTCATGTCAAAGCTGACCACGCAGGTTTGCTAGGAACTTGTGTTATTTCTCAGCATCAGCCTGGTCACTGTGCCTCATGACTCGCTCTGCCCTCTTGAGGCTCAAGCCACCTCGAGCAATTGGCAGCAAGGGCTCAGCTACAGCTTTGCAGGAATCGCCATATCGAACTCCTCTCTCTGCCTTTGAAGAGTACAGTCCTCCTCTTGGCTTTTCCAGCTCCCAGACCCCATGACTGAACACAGCTGCCTGCTTCTTTTTGTGTGAAACCAAGCCACACTGCCCTCTGGCAAACACGTCCAACACTCTTCTCCTGGGTCACAGTAAAGTGTTACAATAACCAGGCCAGGCTCCTTCTGTTGTTCTTCCTAACAAAGTCTATGCAAAAATGAAGCTGGGGCACTGAGGCTGGAAGCAGGAATCCAGCTTTGATACAGCTGTAACAATGAGCCAATACATCACAGGAAATTATTAAAAGCTACAAAAAGGAAATGGACCTTGATGCTGAGAGAGATCCAAAGCCCACAGAGCTGCAAACCCGAAGCACGCTACACAATCAAATTAGGACAAGGCAGACCTGCTGGAACACAGCCTTGATGCTGTATGGCAAAAGCAATGGGGGGGGGAGGAACCAGAAAACCTTTGATGAAGATGGAAAAAAATATATATTGCTTCCCAAGGGGACACTGTGTCTTATAGCCAGCCTGCTGTGCACAGCAGCAAATGTACAGTTGCTGTGCACGCCTGAGCTCGGACCAACCAGCCGCACCAGCTATTGAACTGCAGCCAATGTTAGTACAACATGTCCTAGTTACTTCCTGCTGGGAAGCTAA